GGAAGGACAGGCTCTCTCTCTGATATTTTTTACAGCGTGGACTTTTTACACAGACCCAGTGCTCATGGAGATGAATAGGATGATAATTTGCCATTAACAGCTTGATCCTGTGCACCAGCTGGTCTGGAGGTGCACCAAATAGCCACCGTCTCGTCCTAAATCTCCGGCTGGGCCGCGCACAACAAACTGTTGAGAGGACGACGGCCAAGCCGAGCTTGATCAGGCGGCATGCTGCTCAAATTATTCCACCACAAACACACATACACACACACATGCTAATGGTTGTGTGTGTTGACATTCAGAGCAGCTCAGTCTCAGTCTGTTTCCCGCATCATCTGAATTACAAGTAGAATCACAGCTCATTATTAGTGTTTCTGGAAATGTTTTGGAAGCTTATGTGGAGGAAGCTGTCGGTGTTAATACACAAGCTGCTCTAAGGGTTGGTTCAGAGGCCAACAGGTGGTTCTGAGTCACATGTGAAAAATCCACATGTTGATGTTATTCAGCAGTTCAACTTTAATTTTAACAATTGCCACCACTGACCATGCAACCATTCGTAAGAGGGACGACCTTGAATAGAGAGAACCAGGGAAGTCACTGCCATCCACCTGCAGCCACCGTGCCTATTGGCGATGTTGTTATGGTCACTCTCCAAACTCCACTGACTGGGCTCCTGCAGGAAAGTCATGTTCATTTTCCCCATAAATGTCAGGAGACTTAAAAACAGCTGAACCTGTTCGAGTCACCGACACAAACAGTTAATCATGGATGTCTCAGAGCTGTGCTATTAAACACATGTCTGGTGGAGAAATTAATGCATTACCACACTGTTGAATGTCAGAGTCTTTATTTAAATCCCTCTGAGAGACAAGTGATTTGCAGAGTTGCTTTCACGCTCCCAAAAACAAGCAGCGTAGAGTCTTAACCTTTCACTAGCGCATACATTAATGTAATTAAATACAGTGTTGGCACAGGCGAACAGTAAGACTGCACAATTACAACAACATCACACAACAATGAAATGATTAACTTTCCTGGTAAATATTCATTAGTAGTTTAAAATGGGAAACGGAAATAAAGGGAAAGAAGGAGGGGGAGGAGGGGGGAGAGAAGAGGGACATAAACTGATGCTTTGTTGGATTTATATGCCGCCTCATTAGTTGATTGACAGCCATTATAAAATCTCAATTTACATCTTAGTCCACAGAGAAATGCTCAGAGACTGTGTTCATAAACTGAGACTTAAATTGAGCTATTGAGCTGTCAGGATGTCACCGCTCTAAGATATGCCCCCACCCCCACACCCCCTCAGTCCCCGCCCACCTGGAGCCATCACTGGACCACACTGGATTTGGATTCTCTGATTGTTTACCTGAAGTCTGCTTTATTTACATGTGATTCCTCAGATAACAGTCAGCCAATCAAAAGACACTCGCTTCTGATGCATGTAAAGTGATGCTTAGCAGTAATTCAAGAGTTTATAGTTATAAATGAACCTTAAATCTGTAAATGTGCTGGAGATGTACATGTGTAGAAAACATTACAGATCCTAAATTTAGCTGCTAGGTTTGAACCAATCTCTGTATATCTTTTTCCTTTGTTGGTGCTCCACCACTATTCCCCCTGTATGAATATATGTAGATTTGAAACCACTGGCATGACAAACATGACACATCCATATGCACGCACACAGGACAAATGAAACCAGGACCATGATTGCTGCTGCTCCACAGGGTGTCTTTACTGATCTGATCTGAAGAGTTTTACCACTGATTGCAGCTTTTTTTGCCTCCATCGTCTTCTTCCATCTTGTTTTTTTCCCCCTTAGGCTGGAGGGTTAATTCTCTGAAAACGTTTTACTACTCCTGACTTTTTCTTTTTTCTCTGTAACGTTTTGAAGCATCTCTCTTTGTAAAATGGCACATTTTCATTGTTGTTCCCATATTCTAACTTATAAATAAAGAATTAAGGGAAGAGCTGATGTGGAGACGGTCATAGCAACCGTCTCAGCTGGTTTGTGCAACAACAAGAGGCTCAAAGAGCTCTCATTACTGGTCCTCGGCCAGCTGTGATCAAATAACTGGAAGTTGGGAGCTCTCATCAATCCGCAGCTAATGGGCTGTGCAAAGTGCTACAGAGAGTCTTATCACACCGGAGATGGAACTTGAGGATTTCTGGGCTCCTGCCCAGGCAGGGACAGCTATTTGGCTTCCATTTGCATCACCGCGTGCCCCCATTTAAATGATGGCGAGTGAAAGGATCATTTTTCACCACAACAGGCTCAGAAATAGCTGAAAAAGAAGCAGAAGATTGACGGTGAATGATTCTCCCCTGGGTCTGGATTTACCCTGGATCTCTTGTCTGTTTCATAAAACTTTTAACTTCTTCTAACTTTAGAGGAGTTGGGCCCATCGCCCAGGAGTGACTAACATTTACTCTAATGCATTCTAGGCCTGATTTCAACCAAAGATTAGTCACCTCGGCGCTGAGCTACGAACTCAATTTTAGAAATGAACCCAGAGCTCAATGGCACAGAGGTGCAGAGAGTTAAAATGTGGATGCCCTGGAGATGAGGGATCAGCAGGTGAAGCAGAGGTTGGAGAAGCTGTGGACAACAGGAGAGGGCGAATTGAGAGTGATCATGAGAGGCTGAACTTTTGTTTAAGGTCACCGTCATCATGAAAATCTCTCTGATAAACGCAACAAGTCAGAATGAATGAAGTAAATCAACTGTAGTCGTAAATCAGAGAAAACATTGCACACATCTGGTCTGGTGTGAAATATCTGCAGTCGATTAGTGATGTGAGTTTCTTTCCAAAATCCAAAGTGAAAGGTTAGCGCCTGGTCCCACTGCCAGAGGACATTATCTGGACACACATTTGCTTTCCACATCACAGTCTGGATGATGCAGATTTTCTTTTTCACTGTACTTGATGCGATGGTGCTGAACAGCTGCATCGTCTCATTACAAGAGACATTAATTGATCAGGTTATTTCCACTGTAAAGCCACAATGACACGATTTAGTGAAGAAAAATCTAGGGGCTGCTGTACCTGTTGCAACACAACCCCCTACACTATGATGACATTGGTATGGAGGCAGATTATTAAACCAAAAGTAAGTGACTCAGTGGTTTGATACATGACCAGCCCAACTCTATGCAGGCAGCTCATGAAGGGCAGTTCCTCTTGTTGGAATATCCTTCAGTTCTTGTGGTGTGCTGCCAGACCTATTTCAGGGCCCCTTCGTTTTTCATTATACTGATATCTGAGTTGGGTTTCAATGTATTCATATTCTCAAACACCAGCTGAAAACAGATGTTACAGTGTTTTTTCTGTGGCTGTATTATTAGGTTTAATGCCAGTGGATCTCTCTGGCAACCCCAATAAAAGCTGCAGCTCCAAGCCTCTATACAATCTGACAATACCAAAACTATCTACAGAGCTGCGTGTGAATATAAATCATATTCTTATGTTAAATTGACCCTAATCTGAAAAAAGAGCCTTGAGAGGTAAAGCAACATGAATTCATGCTGCTCTACTGAAGTCCCTCACAGTGACAGAGGTCGACAGGACCATCAGCTCCAACACGATAAAACAAGATCTCCACAGTCTCTCAGCCACGTCCTATCTGATCTTCTGCCTCTTATCTGCTAATGAAGGCTTGTAGAGGCGAGCAGGCTGAATGCCTTATTAACACAATTATGCCAATATAACTAACGGACTGCGCGTGTGGGCAGCTACAGAGCAGAGGGCAAGTCGGACGCAGGCTGGGCAGGAACATATGGCCAACAGCACTCGGCCATAAGGATATGTATGGAAGGGAGCAGGCAATCTGTCATCGGCAGCAATAAAGAGCTGAGCAGGCGGCAGAGAGAGCTGCATGCTCATAAACAGTGCAAGAATACATGAATATAGTGTAGCACATGTATGACATGGACAGATGAACCATGCACACACACACAGGTAACTTTATGTGATTACAGTTATGAGTTTGAGAGCTACAAAAACTTCAACTGATTCTCATTCAGGTAAAACTACGCAGGTAAAATCACTATGGGAACCTCAGAGAGCACAGGTGTTTTAAATGAGCGTATTAGTAATATCCAGGATGTCTGTGGTGTTTATCACTGACTTTGTCAGTGTCAGAGACTGGGACAGGATGTCACCAGCTCTCTGAGAGAGAAAGGTGGCAATAGTAATGTTGTCTTCTTCTTCTTCTTCTTCTTCTTCCTCCAAAGCATTGCATTCACATGTGCATCTGCAATATGCTAGCCCATGAGCAGGATGAATAAAAGGCCACACAGACACACAAACAAACAAAAACACAAGGCCTCCACTTTCACAGCTGTCCTGCTGAATTCGCTCACTTGGGAGCGTGTAAAGCTGAAGATCTGAAGGTCCCTGGTTTGAGCCCAGGTTTCAGCAGAAAGCTGTGCAGCGTTTTGATAAGAAAATACCATGGTGGCTCCCCCCTGGTGTTTCACGGTTGAACTTGTTACTCCTTTTTTTGTGAGGATACAACAAAGACACTAGTGAGGGAAGCAGGAATTGGCAGACGCTACCTATAAATCTTGGGCAGAGCCAACTTAGTTATCCACTCTCCAACTTTTGTCCTTTGTGAAAATTTTACCTGACAGCTTCCATGTTTGTCACTGCAGAGCCTCCACAAGGACACCTTCAGTGCTGAAACAGCTCAGCAGGGAGAGCATTCGACTGAAGATCTTAAGGTCCCTGGTTTTGTCCCAGGTTTCGGCAAAGGACAGTGTTGTCTCTTCATAAGACAGTTTCCCTATTGTAGATCTTTGTTACATCTAACTCCTTGTTCTGAGGATACAACGGACACTCCAGCGAGGGAGCCAAGACTGAGCAAATGCTGCCAATCAATCTCAGGCAGAATCAGGAACTTTATCCACTTTCCAACTCTTCTGCCTTCTAATAAAAAAATACCTAAAATATCCATGTTTGTCACTCCAAAGCCTCCATAGAGGCAGTTTCTGTGCTGAAATAGCTCACTTGGGAGTGCGTTAGGCTGCAGTTCTATAGGTCCCTGGTTCAGTCCCAGGTTTTGGCAGAGAACAGTGTCGTCTCCTTATAAGACACTACCCTGATGGGTCCCCCACTAATACAGTGAGCTCTCCAGTGAGGGAGCCAAGACTTAGCAAATGCTGCCTATCAATCTCAGGCAGAATGAGGTCCAGTTTTCAACTTTTCTGAAAGCTGAAAGCATGTTTGGCACTCCAGGGCCTCCAGAGACTTATGCTGAAATAGCTCAGTTGGGAGAGAGCGTTAGACTGGAGATCTAAAGGTCCCTGGTTCAATCCTGGGTTTCAGCAGAGAAAGTTCATTATTTTCTCTCACCAACAGTAGATCATTGTTACTTGTTGCTCCTTCTTCACCCATTCTTGTGCTCACTGAAATTTTCCCCCAAAAACTTCCTTGTATGACACTTCAAAGCCTTCGTATTGACACCCATATTGACAAGTAGTATCTAATGGTCACTGGTTCAATCCCAGGTTTTGGCAAACAACAGTGCAGTGTTTTCACAAAACAACTATTTACTTCATGTGATTTATTTACTGGTTTACTTTAATTTCCTTTTGAAAACCTTGCATGTGAAATCGAACTTGTGAGGAAACAGAGATCAAAAGGAAAGAAAAAAAACTTCTGTGCACGTGCTCTGCCACTAGCCCACTAGCTACTGCAGCCTTGACCTCTACATGTATGTGCAGGTGATGACAAGCATGTTGTGGCTTCAATAAACGTCAGGAGTGAATGAGCTTGACAGGGAATTCAGGTCAGGACCTGCTGTAAAATCAATGAAAAGTCATGAGATGAACACCACACACATGCAGGCAGTGCACAAAATAGTCCAGAGGCTGCATTGATTGGAAAATAAACTCACTCCCATGGATTTCACAGCAGCTAACACCTGGTGTTTGCTGTTGCTCTCAGCTTGACAGTGTTGGAGACATGAAGCCAGGCAGCATGGACACTGTTTTAATTCTGTCTTCTTGCTTTTTCCTCAGAGCAATACAAAGTATACATTTCTTACACAGTGGGAAAAAGGCTTGTTGCATCATTTTACTGTACAATGCTCATGAAATGCTGATTTTGAGTACAACAAGTTACTCAGTCTACTACATCCTTGGCCTTTGACCCTTGACCCTTGGCCTTTGTCCACCAAAATGTAATCAGTGTGTTCTTGAGTCCAGGTGAACATTTGTGCCAAACTTTTTGAAATATTTGCAAGACAGGTTGAAAAAGGGCTGATGGACACTAGATAAACGAACCAGATCCCCAAGACCTCAGCCAATGGGAAAGGTTAAGTACCTGGAGCTCATGTCTACAAATCCAGTTGCTCTTGTACAGACCTTGTGTCCTAATTCACAGGTTAGTGTCAGTGCATGTGTTTGTGTGTTTGTGTGTCTTAAATAGCCAGTGAATTTAGAGGGTAATACAATCAGAGATTGTACAATGAAAGGTAATGAGTCCAATCGCATTGCAGCTGTTAACTGTGCTTGGACACTTTGATGGACAGCTGTGTATTATCTGAGTTTAAAGAGAAGCTCATCATCACTACTGTGCTAATGGATCAGGTGGGGGTGACACTAATGCACAAGCAAGAGAAAACACAGGAAGTGAAATACTCTACAAAATAAAATCCCTTTATTCTAAAAGAAAAAAACAAAACAAAACAGTTTGTCTCTGTATTGGCTTTAGATGGAAACATCTGCACAGAGGCTTGTGTTTCACATGTGTACTGGGGTTTAGTGATTAAACTGCTCCTGTTACATGGGAATCGAACACGACTGCGCTCCTGTACCATGATATCCCTTGTTTTGTTGACACGTCCATCCACCACAACCCCCCTCCACCACATCTCTGCATTTTTCCCTCTGCTCCTGCTGCAGCCACTAGATGTCACCTAGCAAACTCAACATGACAACATATGTGTGTGTGTGTGTAGATACAGTGTTTCTATAGGTGTTTCTATATCCTATGTTTTTCAACGTTTTTAAATAAAATCACATAAATATTATTGGAAAAAAAACGTGTAGATGACATGAGGCTGTTGAGGTGTCTCTGCTTGAGTATCAGCTTCTTTTCCTGGTTGGTGTCACATTTATTTTATAGTCACATAGAGATCACAGGGCTGGAAAAAGTCCAGTGTGCCCTCTGTCGTTTAAAGCAGCCTGTGAGTAATTTCATTTTCAGTTTCCTCTTTGTGATTCAATTCCTGTTCTGCCTCTTTTTTTTGCCCTTTGTTATCATAAAAATCATTAGTTCTGTCCATAAATCTCTCCTGGCTCTATTTCCATGTGGAACCAATGCAACATGATTAAACTTTATCAGCCGTGTGTAATGACGTCACCTCTGCGCCCTCCTAATTCAAATAGAAAGATGATCTTCAAAGGGGGAAAACTGTTCCCTGTTGAAGCTTCTGCAGCTGGCTGAAGGGAGTCGCCACCTTGTACTGTGCGGCTAAAACACATCAGTGCAGGAAGAAAAAAAAAAAACTCAACTCAGAGTTTCTTTTTCTTATTTGAACATCAAAGCGCTGAAACAAAATGGAATCTCGACATGAGTCCGAGTCAGAGCCGATGATCAGTGGACGTCCTAGGTCAGCCTCATGTCCTAATTAGTTCATTACCTTTTCGCTGCAGAGAGCTGACAGTTCAGAGGAGGACAGCTTATCTTTCATGTCATTTGGCAGACTGAGAGTGAAAATGACTCTATTGTTCTCTTTAATGCTCCTTCATTCAACGAGTGAATCACTGAGTCGGATTTTACAGGAAATAACTTCTATTTTCTGCTCATTGGGTTGATTTTAGATGAAACATAACCATAATCCAAATCCAAACATCATGTCAACAATATATATCAATAGCTCTCAGGGTCTCATACATTTCAGCGGTGAAAACCAGTGTCCCCATAGGCCTTGGTCACACTGCCACTTCAAATCAGATTTTTTATTTTCATATCCACATTATATCTAGTTTGAATGTCTGACAGTCTGAACAGCCAAAAACCATGTGAGCAGCTGCCTCAGTTGTTGTTGCAGACTATTTGTGCTGCAGCTCCACATGATTTGGGACAGAAACAAGCATAGTTCACTGTCCTCTGTTTGTTTAGTTAGGCATAGCCTGTTACCATAGAAGTCAGTGTGGATAAGACACATTCAATGTGGACACATGCAGATCGTATCTGATCACTTTCAATATGTAAATGTGGACTGTCAGTCAGTAAGATCAGATTCTGATGAAAAAATTGGATTTGGACAAGGCCTAGGAAGCATGATGAGACAAATCCAATGAAAAAATGTATTTCTGTTCATAAGACTTAAGTGAGATTCTCAATTTCAGTTTTGCAAATCCATGTTCTCGTAATAATCTGCGTCCTTCGTGTATTCAATGTTCTTGTTCCCTGTGTCTCGTCTTCCTTTGTTCTCCCTCTTGTGATTACCTGATGTGTCTCACCCGGGTTGATTGCACCACCTGTGTGTGTTCCCTTGTCTATCTTTGCTGGATCGTCTGCGTTGTATCCCTGTGCTATGCCCTGAGTTTCCCTCTTTGTTCTCCTGTGAGTACTGCAAATAAAATACTTTTGTCACCTACCGGCTACAGCCTGGTCTGCATTTGGGTCCATTCCCCCCCAACCTGACAGTTTTATTATAGCTTGTTTGAGTAAATTACTGAGTTATACCCCAAATACCCCAAATCAAACTATGAGTAATCTCTGTTCTTCCTGTATGTAAGATTTTAAATCAGTGTATCACAAAACTCCATAAATCCTCGTCGTCAGCTTTATCTTCCGAGATCGAGTCCTGCAAATATTCACAGGAGGGAGGTGAAACCTGACTGTGAGGAGCTGGACTGAACAGAAGTGGCTCTGAAAGTTGTTCAACATCATAAAAGTCCAAAAAGGTGACGTGTTGGTGAAACTGCCACCAAAACGCACTGAAATATTGCTCTGAGTTTTTATGGCTCTTTCTTTATTCTCGGAGCTTTCTAAGCTTCAGTGTAATTAGCTACAGTCTTTTTTTTTTTAGTGTTTTAATCTGATGGTTGTTAATGGACATTTTATTAAACTTCAAGGCTGAAATACGGATTAAGATCACAACTCAGGTTTTAAGACGCTGCTAATTACCAGACTAACCTAAAAGACTTGCAGAGGCCTGAGAACCTCTGTGCTGGAGCTAATAAATAAAATCCAGTCAACCTTTAAAACTGGGCCTGAGGCTCCAGTGTGGAGCTGCTTTAAATAATGCTCCAGTGTTGAGGATGATTGATGGCGTTGTTATGCTGAAGGATTTATTAAATCTATAATAGAGTTGATGTTGCGTCCATAATGAGCTTCCCCTACTCAAAGAAAAAAACACAACATCACAGAGGAGGAGGAGGAGGAGGAGGAGGAGGGGTCACATCAGCATGCCGTCTTCATCTTCGCCATCTGACCTTCTGTAGTCGCAGCATTTCGGCGTCTCTGTCTCTAATCTTTTCATTTAACCTTTAGTCGAAGCAGCTCGTGTTTGTGTGTACCAAAAGCTTTTCACCCCGCTCATGCCGCCCCTCAGGAGAATTATAATCTGCTCTGCAGCCGGAGCAGCCGACCATGAGGCAATAAACACATGGATGAAATATCTCAGTCGCTGTTTCTTCTTATTCCAACCAAACCGAGCCACTTTGCTGTTGTTTTTTTATTGTTGGACTTAACAGGTGACTGTTCCCTCAGTTTGCTGACTTTTTCAATGTTTAACCAAGACCAGGATCAAGAACTTGAAGTCTGAACCATAAAAGTTTAGTCATACTTTATTTCAACTGAGGAGACAAAAGAAACTGTACTGACATCAGTTATCATCATGGTTTTCTCAGCAGCATGTGTGTTTGGTGTCGGGAGTTTATGTTGTGCTTTGTTCGGTCATGTTGTGAACTAGCTTGTTTGTTTCTCTGGTAATTTGATATTAAGAGGTTCAGGAGCTTTGAACCAGGAGCCAAGTCCTCTGTGTGGGTTTCCTCCTCTTCAGAACAAACAAACCTGGTGATTAAATTAATTAAAATCACTAATTAAAGC